GTGTTCATAAAACGCTCTGTATTAATTTTTGGACGTACGCAGCCTTTTTTCCTAAGATTATGTACATACGTCTTCTGGACAGGAATGATATCTTTTAGTGGGTGGCAATCCGTTGATATTAATTTCTTTAAAATGTTTTGGTCTTGTTTATTTAAAAGATTCTTGATAAAAACTGGAAATGAAATAAAACGGCGTTTATGGCATCGGTCTAAAAAATTTTGTATAACCGTAAGATCGGATTCCGATGCCCCATAGACTGAAAGCGCATAGCTAAAATTAGGTAAAACAATAGATATAAAAAGGTGATCTATCTCTGCCTGAGAGTAGTGTTCCTTTCTTAGTGTTCGTAGGACGTGTAAACACTTGTTTGCTTTGACAAGCTTGGTTCTTACATGCTCATTGAATTTCCCGTCACTCTGTAGAGTTACTCCTAGTAAAACGAAGCTATTACATTGAGGTATATTGTTAATTGGAGAGTAGAGTACATTGTGATTTTTCTTTCTAACAACCAGCTCTTTACATTTACTAGGGTTGCAGACCATTTCATTGTCTTTGCACCAGGTTAAGAACTGTACTACTAAGTCGGCAGACGGGTCACGGTTCCTAGTAATAGGCGAAACTATAGTGGAATCATCGGCGTATTTAAAAAAAACAGGGCAACCATCAAAGAAAATCTCCAAGTCATTCAAAAATATATTAAAAAGATACGGTCCGCTTACACTACCTTGTGTGGTTCCTCTATTAACAGATTTCCAATGTCCTAAAAAATTATAGCTAACAACACGTTGTTGTCTTGCATAGAGGAAACTCTGATACCAATTGATAATGTACGGATTTAGGGGTAGCAAATTGCAAATGGTGCAACCAGATGAACAAGCTACCCGGGCCATTAATCAGCAAAGAGCTGTGGCCACGGAGTCAGAAACAGTTGAAAAAGGTCTAACTCAACTGAACGGAGCATTACAAAGCTGATAAATCAGAGCTCTGAACCCCACCGAGAAGCCGGTGGCGAAATTGATGTGCCAGCTGACATAGCAAACGACTTTAAACTTGATAACAAAAAAGGCCCTGCTGTCAATCAGCACTTAGCGAAGATTGTTCACGGACTTAAAACGAAAAAGCTGTCAGACGAGATCCTAACTGAAACACAGAACCGATACAACAAATCCGAAAACTGCGAGTGCCTCTCGACTACAAAGGTAAATCATCTTATTTGGGATAAACTCAAAAACCTGGAATGAGGTCGAATGACATCAAATTACAACGCGTGCAATCTATGCTTGTTAAAGGAGACATCCCAATGGTCTCTATTGTTGAGAAGCTCGTTGAAGCGAAGGAAAAAGTCCCAAAAGATGCCTTGAACGTTCCGGGATTAATAACAGCGGCCACAGATGCCATTACTCTAATAGGAGCCACCAACTTTGAGTTGAACATTCGGCGCCGAGATAATATCAAACGGAACTGATCGAAGACTACAAGCATCTGTGTTCCAGCTCAATACAGTTCACTGAGTCCCTGTTTGGCGACGATTCTGAATGGTCCAAACAGCTTAAAGAACTCGCAGAGGCAACAGAAGTTAGCAAAAAGTTAAGCCGAGGCGACCCCCAAGATGGACGCCCACAAACACCAGGCGTTCAGGCATTTCAAGCACGCCAAGTCCAAAGGATTTGGATACAAATACAGAGGTCAAGCGACGAACTCAAACAAGCAGTTAAACTGGAAAAGGCCCGGCCGCACATACAACAAGCACAATCAAGAGGGGAGGAGGCAAAACAAATGGGTCCAAAAAACCCCTCTACCGAGCCAAGTAATTCAGGATGTCGGCTTCAGGCTGGTATATTGCAACAATTTGTCCCAGCTTGAAAAGAAATTAATAGTGACCATGACGTCTTAGACTGGGTTGAGCACTGTCACATTGAATTTATGGACAATGCACCGCCAATTCAGTATGGTGGTTTGTCGGAGCATCAAATTCAACGACAAAGAATCAGCTATCATTGGTGCAGAAATTGCCAAACTCCTGGACAAAGGGGTTGTTGTGGAGTCAGCTCCTTCAGAGGGAGATTCTATCTCTCCTGTTTTCTAAGGCTTAAAAAGAATGGGATAGATTACAGGATGATTCTTAATTTGAAAGAGCTTAACAAATTTGTGGCCTATCAACACTTTAAAATGGATTCACTTAAATGTGTCACAAGCCTAATGACCCAAGGATGCTATATGGCCTCAGTGGACACAAGGGATGCCTACTACACCGTGCCAGTAGCTCTAGAGAACCAAAAATATTTAAAATTTACATGGAGGGACAAATTGTATCAATATACTTGCCTAACTAATGGCTTAGCATCAGCGCCAAGAATCTTTACTAAGCTCTTAAAAACTGTGTTCAAGGTACTCAGACAAAAAAGACCATTTATCTTTGTCATAAATGCATATAGATGACTGCTATCTTTAAGGTGACTCATTTGCCAAATGTCATGTTAATGTTCAAGACACTACTTTGCTCTTTGAGGAACTAGTATTCCCGTACATCATGAAAAATAAGTGCTTGTATCAGCACAGATACTGACATTCTTGGGTTTTGTACTGAATTCAGTCATCATGACTGTACAGTTAACTACAGAACGTAAGGAAAAACTTAACAATGCCTGCCAAAAATTGGTCGGAAAGGAAACTTGTACAATTCAAAATCTAGCAGAGGTTATAGGGTTGATAGTGTCAAGTCTTGCTTAATTGGTACCTACATAACAGAATGTGTAAATACATAACAAAATACAGAATGGACGAATGGAATCTACAATGCCAAATAGAGAGGACATAATACCAATTGTGGAGTCTAAAAGATCATAATAGAACAGCATAATACAATATCTCATTTTGGCGGTAATCACCCCTCATACCAAAGAAGGCGTTGATACTTCAATTTACAAACCGCATAGTGTTAGGTCAGCTGCCACCTCTAAAGCTAAGGTGAACAATGCTTCACTCCAGGACATTATGAAAACTGAAGGCTGGAGCTCGGCTGCTACCTTTGCAAGGCTTTGTGATAAAGAGATCAACTCAGGCTCATCCTTTGCTACAAGTGTTTTGAGTTGCAAATAAAGGTGTTTAACATTTCAGGGAGTACACTTTTCTGATTTACGGAAAGTCTGCAGCAACAGAAGACGCTAAAATCATGTTGAGCTGGTTCAGAATGTCAATTCTGTTTGGATGGAATCCTCTGACAGTGTCTAGGCTGGTGTATAGTAGTGTGCTTCGAATCATGTCCTTAGTAAATAAGAGGTTTCCTGACTTTACCCTGCCAACTCCCTTTCAAGGACCTCAAGGCTAAGTGTCTGTTTCCTTGACATTCACTTGTTTTGCCAGGAATAAGCAAAGTTTAATACTGTGTGACTGTGTTAACTGTAGTTTCTTGATGTAAGACTCCAAACAACTTCACAGGAAAGACTAAAACTAATGATCTGTCAAGGTCATCTGTACAATGTTTCAGGCAATTTTGGACAATCAATGGTAAAACTCAGAGCCACTTGGAGTATTTTGCGATCCCCTTTGCAGCTAACTCAGAGCAACTCTGAGTCACCAAAGAGCAGCTCAGAGTAACATTGAGTAAACAGTGAGTAAATGTACTTTTGAGCTCTGTGATGATCAAAGTACTCACTGTTTAGAGTGTTTTTTGACTTAGGACTTAGGTAGTAGACTTTATAAGACATAATTCATACAACAACAAACACTGTGAACAAAACATTCACCCACCTCTATCACCAACAAACTCCAAAATCGTTTGCTCTTCAAGAGTGCTAAAGTACGCCTCATCAAGGACTTGAGTCCCATCTTCAAGTTGAATGTGGCACATGCATGGACAATTCAAGCCCAAAAATAGTAGCACCTTTCTGTTTGAGTTCTTCAAGGTTTTCCACCCCAACGCCTATTTGTTCAGTACCCTGAAATTTACGTATCTTAAAACCACGTCTGCATGTTCTTGTGTCAGCCATGGCAAAACAGGTCCTTAAAAAGATAATAATAATGGAAATCATTCAATTTCGGTATATTTACATGTACATTGTTCTTAAAGTAAAGTTTCGGTAAAATGGGCAACAAAAATGTGCAACTTGTTTTGCACATTTTGTTGCAAAAAGTAGAACTGCTCTCTACTTTCTGCAACAACTTTCCCCAACCTGCAACAACCTGATTTGTTGCAAGAAAGGTTTGAACGTGGGTGGTAAAATGTGTAAAGCATAGAAGTTTCTTCTCTTGCTAAAAGCTTTGTTTTATGCTGTGAAAATAAAATAAAATTTGATATAATAAAGCTTTTGGTGAGGGTTATAGACGGTTAATAGAGTATCTTGATGCTAACTGTCTTGATGAGGTCTCCAATCTGCGCACAGGGAATATCATGGTACTAACACTGCCCTTATTCATGTTTTCAATAAAATCAATAATAATCAAAAAATTGATCAAGTAAAAGAAACAGTTTTCTTGGGAGTAATCATGGATGAAAATTTAAATTGGAAATCTGAAATCTCACATGTCGCCAATAAAGTTTCTAAATGCACAGGAATTATTCGTAAATCTAGTTTCTATTTATCCACGAAAACCTTACGAACACTATATTTTTCTCTAGTCTATCCATACCTTTTTTATTACAACTTAGTTTGGGCCTCTACTTACAGAACTAACCTTATTCGTCTTGAGATTTTACAGAAAC